AAGGCTGGGCTCGGTGGTTCAGCCTGTAATCCCGCACTTTGGGGGACTGAGGTGAGTGAATTGCCTGAGTCCGCAGGTTTGAGACCTGCCTGGGTAACTTGGCAAGACCTCATCTCTGCAATAAGTCAAAAAAATTAGCCGGGCGTGATAGCGCATGCCTGTAGTTTCAGCTACTTGGAAGGCTGAGGTGGAAGGACCGGTAGAGCCCAGCAGGTCGAGGCTGAGGTGGCTGGGAGCTCGCCGCTGTACTCCAGTCTGGGCGACAGAGTGAGACTTCAACTCAAAAAAGAAAAGAAAAAGAAAAAAGAAAAATGAAATAAGGCCGGGTGCAGTCACTCATGCCTGTAATCCCAACACTTTGGGAGACTGAGGCAGGAGGATTGCCTGAGGCCAGGAGTTCGAGATCAGCTTGGGCAACAGCACAAGACCACTTTTTTTTTTTTTTGGATGTTGGAGTCTGACTCTGTTGCCCTGGAGTGCAGTGGCATGCTCATGGCCACCCCAGCATTGACCCGCTGAGCTCCAGTGATCCTTCCGCCTCAGTCTTCTAAGTAGCTGGAAATACAGGTGCACACTACCACGTCAGGTTAATTTTTTTTATTTCTTTATTGTAGAGACGAGGTCTTGCCAAGTTGCCCAGGCTGGTCTCGAACCCACAGGCTCAGAAAATCCATTCGCCTCAGCCTCCCAAAGTGCTGGAATTACAGGCTGAGCCACTGAGCCTGGAAAAGACCACATTTCTTAAAAAAATTTAAAAACTAACCAGGTGTGATGGCACACACCTATAGTTTCAGTTACTTGGGAGGCTGAGGCAGGAGGATCGCTGTGATTATGACACTGCATTCCAGCCTGGATGACAGAGCAAGTCCCTGTCTCTAAAAAAATTAATTAATAAATATAACCTGAAACGAATGTGACAAAAAAAATGGACAGAACTAGGTGTTAGACAGTAAAATGTATATATTTTCTATATTCTTTTTGTATGCCTAAAATATTTAAAATTAGTAT